GGAGGCTGAGGCAGGAGACTCGCTTGAGCCCAGGAGTTGGAGGTTGCTGTGAGCTGTGATGCCATGGCACTCTACCCAGGGGGATAGCTTGAGGCGCCATCTAAAAAATAAAAAAAAGATGTTATATGAAACAGTTGATTTTCATTTTCTCGAAAATCTTACCAAAATTGAGGAGTTAGTAATTTTTTTTTAAATCTCATGAAATTGATTTAAAAGGAAGAAAATATTTTCTCAAAAGAAAAAGTTGTGCTTTTTTGTTTGTTTGTTTTGCAAAAGTTGCATTCAATTCCTGTTTTGTATGCATCGTGGTATACTAAATGAGTTGGTCCTAACCACTCTGGTTGTTGAAGAGACGAACCTGTAGAGAGCCTGGGAGAGGCCACTTTAACTGTCGGAATGGAGTGATTGTGACCCACGGTATCAGTGGGTGCTATAGCCAGATTGTGCTGACTTGTAGTAGTTCACAAGAGCTGATTGGTAAATTTTCAGGAATTCTGCAAGCCACTGGTGCCACTAGTAAAAAAAACTAGTTTCTATGAAGAAATAAATTATATAAACTTAATTAAATTTTATTTAAAACAAAGGCACTGTCTTCAGCAGCACTTAACACTAAAATCAGAACAACATAGAGAAGATTATCACGGCCCCTGCATAAGGTTGACACATAGACATATGGAGTGTTCTGTATTTTTTCAGGTTATTCTGTATAAAATGCTAAATAAATGTTTTTGAGATTCCATCTCTAAATGAATAAATAACATCAGTCTCATTTAGGCCAGGAGTCATGGCTCATGTCTGCAATCATAGGACTCTGGAAGGCCGAGGATCCCTTGAGCGCCGGAGACCAGCCTGACAAAGATCCAGACCCCATCTCTACTAAAAATAGAAAAAAATTAGGAGGTGTCCTGATGTGCACCTATAGTCCCAGCTACTGTGGAGGGTAAGGCAGGAGGATGGGTTGAGCCCAGGAGTTTGAGGTTTCTGTGAGCTAGGCTGATGCCATGTCAGTCTAGCCTGGGCAACACACAACAATATGAGACTGTCTCAAAAAAAAAAAAAAATCACATTTAGTAGAAACAGGTTAATCAACCTTAATATTATATGTGATTCTACAAAGTACGTATTTTATATTTTTGTTTCATTTTCTAGTTCTTGCTTACTATCGTACTTTTTCTTCCTATTTCTGAACTTTGTTTTAATTTCTTTATGAAGCTTTGAAGTTTTAATTTCCTGCCTCTTGTAACTTTATTTGTGCTTCTTTCCATGTTTTCTTAACATTTTTCTTTTCAGTTCTCTCCATTTGTAGACCTCTCTTTATCAAAATTAATGGCCTGATCTTTTTCTGGCCTCTGTTCCTTCTTGCCACTCTCTCTTTCTCTTCGCTCACCTTTAGGAGCTTTATTATCCTTAAGGCCCAACTGTTGGCAGTATGGTTTTCTCAACCATGGGACCATGGTTGAGCAATGGCCGGGATCCCAGCTCTATCCAGATACGCTCTGGAGTTCTTCAGCGCCTGCCTGGCCCCTTTTGCTGCACTCCTGTGTTCTCAGCTCCAGAATTATGATGTGAGAGTAGCTCATAGGATCGTTTGTTCTGTGCCTCTAGCAGGACCTAGGAGGGGAGCGGCTGCACGGACTCTGAGCACTGGGTGCCTGGCTCAGGCCTTCCCACCTTCCCAGGAAGCCACTACCTTGTGAAGTTCCTCAGTGAACAACGCCCTCATCAGGCTTCTGCCTTGCGCTGGCGCACTTCCTTAGCATTAAAATGTGCTCATATCTTTCTGGTCTTAAACATTTAAAAACCAGCCTTCACCGGAGGACCCTATGTTAGGTTCAAACTCTTTGACACTGCAATCGAATTTCTCCTCCACCTTCTGCTGAAACTCCCTGGGTCAAAATCATAGCTGATCTTTCTTAGTAACTCCAGTAGCTGTTTCTCAGACTTTAGCTTCCTTGACCTCAGCAGAGTTTGACACCGGATGGTTTTCACTTCCTTCTGTGTTTCCTTAGCCTCCAGGACTCCACTCTCTCCTGGATTTTCACTTACCTGTCCAGCTTGCCTCCATCTCTCATGCAGGTTCCTCTTCCTCGGACCATTCCTTAAATCTGGGGACCCTTCCTCCGCGTTCTTCCCTGTCTTTTCCAGCCAGTACAGTCGTAGATGAGCTTTTCTGCCCCATGGCTTCATCACCAGCTCTGTCTCTCCAGCCCTGATCTTTCTCCTGCGTTTCACACTCCTGTGTCACTGTGCAGTTTGGTGATAGCCTACCTGTCTTTAAGTAGTTAAAGGTAATTTTGATCAGAGCTCTTCCCGGCCCCATAATCCCAGTCTAATTTAGTGCCTCTTCATATCAGCCAGTGCCCACCTCTCCTGCAATTTATCTCCTTTATGTGAATCGTTTGCTTATTCATTTCATTCTCTGTTAGAACAGGAACTCCATGAGCGCAATGACAATTTTTAGCTTACTCATTACTGTATCCTTAGCTCCTCACACACTCTCTGGCACATCCTGGGCACTGTTTTGTTGAATGAATGGGATCTGGATCATTTTAACTTTAGTGCTGCTGCTTACTAGCTATGCAACCTTGGGCAAGTCATTTATCCTTTTTAAGTTTTCGTTTATCTGCGGATTGGAATAATAATACCTAGGTAACTAGGACAGGGCTATTAGGAAGATCAAGTAAGATGGTATATGTGAAACTACTTTCCAAATATTAGCAAATAAAGGATTAAGTAAATATAAAGTATGGGAATTTGTGTCATGACATCATATATATTAAAGTACTTAAGTAACCTGGATATAAAATGACTACCTTGGGTCTAGTGTTAACATTAGAGAAAAACCACAATCCAACATCCCCAAAACATTAAAAAACAATTGAAATAGGGGCGGTGCCTGTGGCTCAGCGAGTAGGGTGCCAGCCCCATATGCCAAGGGTGGCGGGTTCGAATGCGACCCTGGCCAAACTGCAACAACAACAACAAAAAAAGAAAAAAACCAATTTAAATATTGTTTAAGTTTCTCAGAGAGGCACACAAGGTTTATGTGCTGACAGAGTACATGTAATTTTTTAAAAATAATTATGAGAGTATTTGTTCAATTAGAAGTTAGTTCTTATTATCACATTCTGTTTACTTACTTGTTCTGAAACTTAGTTTTATCGATCCAGTACAAAATCTGAGTCATGATGGTAGCCATTCCCTATGAAGCACTATCTGAAAGGAGTTTACCTAGAAAATTTAAATTTTCTAGTAGTCACATTTTGTTCAAATGTAACAAATAAATAGGCCTTGATAGATAAACTGAACAGAGTATAATTAGCCAAGAATGATTTGAGAATCAGGTGTCCCCGTCAAACAGACTAGGTCAAAGGTGACTCCAGAGTTGCCACACGGCCAGATATTTATGAACAGAAAAAGGAAAGCGATGGGCAGGAAACCTGCCCGGTCTAGCAAGTCACAGAGCTGGATTTGAACCCTGCCAGTTCGGCATCAGAGGAGATGCTTTTAAGCACTGTGATACTAATGTAAACTTCACCTAAAACCCCCTGGGTCAACATCATGCCCATTTTACAGATGTGGAAACTGGGGCTCAAAAGAGTGCAGTACCACTTAAAACCGGCTGGTCAGAGGATGACATTTCTTTTTCTTACTTCCCCACTTCCCTTTTCTATTCCATTTCTAGAACTTTTTGATTTTGGTCAGGCAAGGCTTGCATTTGCCAGTGAGTGAAAACATTTCTTTCACCTGCCTTTGGTTCCCTTGTCTGCCTTTTTCTTTTCCCAGAAAGCATCTTGTATAATCATGAGGCAATATCTGAGTGATTTGGTTTGCTATGATCCATTTTCTGTGAAATAATTTAGAGAAACACAGCACTTGCCTTTTCCGAGTTTATATTCTAAAACTATTGATACCCTTTGTTTTCTGCAGAGAGATTGGAACCATCATCAGGTCGTTAGGATGCTGCCCTAGTGAAGGAGAGCTGCAAGATCTGATTGCAGAGGTAAGTGGGCTACGGAAGTTTTCTTTCAGAAGCCCTTCTATGTGACAGCTACTCTTTGTCATTCAAAACAGTCCTTCTCTGAAACTTAAAAATACCCCAAACTACTCACAGGGGCTCAGTGAAGATATTAGGACAGCTGTATAGCTTTGCATATTAGTGACCAGTAAGATCAGAAAGAATTAAGATCAGATCTTGAAAACAATGGCTATGAACAAATAACACAATTGACCAAATAAAGAACCCACTTTAGAAACGATCCTTTCTTTAAAATTAGTTGAAAGGCCAGTGGACCAAAGGGACCAGCCGTAGGCAGAAAGGCTATTGGCAGAGGAAAATAATGTACATAATGTGTTTCAAAGGGAATAGAAACAAAGACTACAAGGAATTTATATTTATTTGGGGCGATAAAACTAAGTTTCAGAACAAGTAGTAAACAGAATGTGATAATAAGAACTAACTTCATTGACCAAATACTCTCATAATTTTTTTTTTAAATGACTATAATAGCGTAGATGAGTCCCTGGAGAATTATTCCATAAAGCAGTGGAGAAGCACCTTGAGATAAGAGTGCTTCACACTCTGTTTGGTATTCCAGAAAGGTTTCTTTCTCATCTAATTTCATATGTAGCTTTCATTTTAACAAAGCAGAGACCTTAAGGGGAAACAGCTACCTGGACCACCAGTAGGAGAAGAATCTTTTCAGAACTGCTTATCTAGACTTCTAGGTTAGAGGATAACAAAGAGGATAAAGGAGAAAAGCACGTAGTTGGGATTTTAATTGTCTCCTTATTCCTTGCTCCTAGCATAGTACTTGTTCAAGGTTAAATTAAAGAGATGGAATTGTGACTTTAGGGGAGTCACTTAACCTCTGTGAGTGTAGGTTCTTCCGTAGTAATACCTACTTCAAAGTTTGCTTCAAAGATAAATGAGAAGATGTGTTTTTTGGTTTGTTTTTGTTTTTATAGACAGGGTCTTAATCTGTTGCCCAGGCTGGAGTATAGTGGCACAACCATCATTTGCTGTAACCTCAATCTCCTGGGCTCACGTGATCCTCCTGCCTCAGACTCCCACATAACTGGAACTATAAGCACAGACCACTACACCTGGCTAATTTTTTTTTTTATTGTTTGAGATTCATTGAGGGTATAAAAAATTAGGTTATACTGATTGCATTTGTTAGATAAAGTCCCTCTTATAATTGTGTCCACCCCCAAGAGATGTGCAATGCACTGTGACCCTCATCCTTTTTCCTCCTCTTTCCCCACTTGCTCATTTCCCTACCCCCCCCCATTATTAGCTGATCTCTTGCCTTCATATTAGAATATAGTACATTGGATTCTTGCTTCTCCATTCTTGTGATGCTTTACTAAGAAGAATGTGTTCCACCTCTATCCAGGTTAATACAAAAGATATAAAGTCTCCATCTTTTTTAGTGGCTAAATAGTTCCATGGTATTAGTATTCCATGGTGTGTATATATATATATATGTATATCAATCACAGCTTGTTAATCCATTCCTGGGTTGGTGGGCACTCTGGCTGTTTCCACATTTAGGCAATTATAAATTGAGCTGCGATAAACAGTCTAGTGCAAATGTCCTTATGATAAAAG